AGATAGTGGGAGTTTTAGGGACCATGACTATTGTAGTCAAAGGAGAAGTCAAATGAAAGAAGATAAATAAACTCCAAGGGAACAAACTTTCTTTATGAAAGGATGGACATTGGAAGGGGTATTTGCAAGAAATGTCTTGCAAGTGTCAAGAACACACCTTTCGAAGGTGTTGTAAAATTGTTCTTGAATAGTTCAAAACAGTTGGTTCTTCTACTTGAATGCTTGATTCCGTATTAGTAACTATGTTTTACAATCGTTGTAAAAGTGTGACTAATAAGAAGTAGAAGATATAATGAGAGAAGAGAAAGGTACTTCACATTCGGAAACGTGAATCAAATATAGATCTCTGCGAAAGCAGATGGTACTTACTTCCTCATATGAACTACCAAAGAAATTGGAAAAACATAGATTGTCTTTATATTCCAATTTTAAGGAACTAAATTCCGTCACTATGTGAAATGGATAAATGTTTTGTTTGACAAAACAATTGTTCTTTATTAATCAATGATTGGATTATGGTAATCTAATTAATTGTCTCTATAGTAGAGATAATATGGTAGTGTTAACTGTTTAGAAAATAATGATGCTTAAAACCCAAAAGGTTGCAAGGTAGTGACTAATCCCAACTAAAGTTGTGATACCTCTAAAACATAAATTACGAGTTGGTCATAAATGGATGCTTTGGATCGTTAGATCCGGATCCAATACCTTCTTGTTAAAATTGTATAGAGGCGAAATGTTCGAATCTTTATTCTTTTGGAAAGAAGAAAGAATCACAAAGTTGTTGAGGTTAATTCACTTAGATGTTAGTGGCACTTGTCCACAAACATAATACTACTCATGTTGATATGACATTCACCGAAGATCACTCTCGGTTGGACTATAGTTTATTTTGAATAAACACAAGTCCGAATACTTTGCAAAATGTTTCAAAGAATTCAAGAAATGTAAGTTGATGAGTAAGACATCTAAAGTATTTACCTCCTTAGATTTGATCCAAGGAAAGGTAACACTTTAGATAAGTTTCCTTGAAAGATATCAAGGAAAATAGCATCATAAAGATAATGTATTTCTCCATTAGGAGAAGAACGAACTCGAATAAGATTTAGTTCGTTAGATGTTATCTATTACCCATATATAGGATATATACTTCTAAAAACAATATGATTGTCAATGAGAAGATCTTCCAATATTTTCATGACTCCATAAGATGTAGTTGGAAAGAAAGACAAATCTTAAGCATGTTAAAGATTTGGGGTTGTGTGCTAATAAGCAATATTTGTTTGATAACAATCTTGTAGGATATCCTTAAAATTAACTTTTGGATATCGCTTCTATAAACCAACTAACAAATGTTGTTTTGTTGGGTAGTTCATTGTAATTCTACAATGTGATTTGCCTAAAAGCAAATGAACGAGAGATAGAACTCAAAGAATGGGTTCTTTGAGAGACAAGATAAGTAATCAACAAATATAACAACCTAGTTCCTATACCACAAGCTCCAAGGTAGTCGATAAGGATTTATAAACCGTCTCAGTTGAATGGTTTTGAACTTTATGACTACATTGAGTGCATATACGATATATACTCAAGGAAAATGGTAAAGTACCATTTGACTCGAAATAATGAAACCTTCATAGCTAATTGGTAGCTTAAGGTGACTACAATCAAAGAGAATGGTTGACTTTGAAGAAACCATCTTTGACGATAGTCTTGGTTTCAATTAATTCGAAGATTGCTAGCTACAACTAAATGGTGATTCAATGTTTGGACATAATATGGGTTTCCGAAACCATTATTAAGATAGTCTTGATAATATATGTCTAAAACTATAAATCACAAGACATGTAAGTTGTAGAGATCCATCCATCATGGATCTTAGCAAGTTAGTGGGAGCTATTTGCATTTTATGAGAAAAAAGGATCAAATCGTTTGATTTCTCATAAAGATGTAAATGAATCTTTTGTTTACTAGTTTTTACAAAAGATTAGTGGGAGTTAATCATGTTCCTAAAAATTTAAATATATATGATATATTAATTTTGGAAATGAAAAGAATACTTCTTCGTTAAAGTTATGACTTTAATACATTATATGAAGATAGAATGTATATGGGAGATATAGTCTATATACATGGGATGGAAATCTATAATGATATATTTCATGATATAATTGGATTATATCAATCCCTAATAATAGACAATGGATGCTAGGAAGTTTCTCATATGATGATAAACTTCAATAAGAAGGACGATTCTAGTGAGACTAGCAAGTTGCCCTTCTCAAAGGGAACGTACCCTTTGACTCCCAAAGAAATAATGCGTAAATTGAATCCTTTATGCATACGCAGAAAGGTGATTTATGTATTTCATATTGTATGAAAAACATTGATATGAGTTGTACCTAGAACGGTACAAGACGATATCAGTGCAAGCCCAGGATCAGAACCATGGCAACTGTCAAGTGAGTCCTTAAGTATTTAAGAAATACTAAAGGATAAATTCCTCAAAGAATCGAGGAAGAATTAAAGTAACGTAATGGAAGCGTAAATGTATTAGATTATGAATCTAATCCATCATTGGATGTTTCTTCATTATGAATGAAGAGATAAACGAATATCTCTTTATTATGACTAAAGAGATATTTGGATGGAAACATTAAAGTAATGACTTTAGTGTGTTCCATTATGAATGCAAGATATATTGCCATATAGAAGTTTACAACAATGTTGTTTGGATGGGAAAGTTCATTTATGAACTCTCTATTCGGTTCCAACCAGAAAGTGTATGACACTAATGGGGCGATAGCTCAAGCCTGGGAATCAAGGTCTCATCAAGATCCGAACTCAAATGAGAGACTGAACCACATGATTGAGAATCATGTATAATGGTGACGTCGTTATTCTCAAGGTTGCTTCTATGGATAACACATATAGATATCCACTGTCTAGGCCTACTATTCAGCCATTTATGAAATGACTACAGAAGAGGTATCATCAAGATGACCAAGCTGATTGGCTCTAGTGCAAGTGGGAGATTGTTGGAAATGTGCCCTAAAGCCAATCATGTGTGATGATACTTTACGGACATTTCACATGTTAAAACTAATCTAGTTTTACATATAAAGGGCAAAGATTATTGTTTGAGCCGTCTCATATAAATGTTATATGCTTAAACGATAAAGTCCAAGGAATATGTGATTGGGAGAATGTAATCTAATGAAGTTAGATTCATGAGACCATTCTTTCGTAGACACATCCTAAACGTTCCTGATCATAGGATTGCCAATTGGGCATTGACAGTCCGTTAAGATCAGTACGTACTATGTCTTCTCTCAGGGAGAGTGATTAGTCTCGAGTCATTGGTGTGTGTGACATCAAGACAAGTACGGTAGGTGCTCAATAGAGAATGAGTTCACTGAACGCGATCAACGAAGAGTTCTCATATTCCATGTCACATGAGAACTCATGGTTGGGATAATGCAAAGTAGTCCTTTGACCTGAGGCATCATAGTTGTCTTGTGGTTAAGTCCTTGATCTTTGATTATGTCAAAGTCACTCCATCAGGAGGGTGTCCACGGCATCGTTGGGGTCAAAGCCACTTAGCTATGGAGACAAGTGAATGCGCAACAAGGGATCTCTAACCTTCAAACCGTTTGAGGGAGAATACTCTATGATATGATTTGAATCTCTGGCCAGAGTATGAATGAGATTTAGGGAATGCGTTCCGAAATCACATTCAAGGAAATCATATAAGCACAAGACACACATTGGATAGTAGACATGAGAAAATAAACTATCAAACCAAACAATGTGGTCAAGAGTATTAGATTAGAGAAAGACCGTATTGCATTTGTAATCTCGAACTGAATAGGTTCTCCACCTCTTCTGATTAGCTTGGGTAACCATGATATGCTGCTAGGTGTCACTCATGGTTTGTGGAAGCCCTAAACGTGTGTAATCACTAAAGGGAGAATTGAAAATAGTTTCAATTCACAATCGATGTAAAATGGTTTTAATCGCCCACTACCTCGCTAAAAGGAACCTAATGGATCGCACACCATAAAAGGTAGAGATTGGAGATTAAACGGAAATGAGTAAGAATGATTAAATGGTTTAATCATTTATTTATGGCAAGGATTAATTAATATGTTAATTAATCAAACGAATAAGTTCGTTAAAGACTTCGGGATAGTTTTGGACCTTAAGGCCCAATGGGCTTCGAACGTCAAGCCCATTAACTTAAGTTGTATGACAATTTAATGAATAAAGATTCATTAAAGCCCAAAAAGCCCAAATCCCATTAGGTGGCCGGCCATGAAGATGAATTAGGGTTTTTGGTTGTTTAGGTCACTTAAAGAAGTGACTATATAAATGACTTTATAGCCAAATATTCATTAAGGATTAAAAGGGTTAATTTTTGGGGAAAATTGGTGAGAATTGTCTCTCCATTTTCTCTCTAAAGAGGCCAACACCTTGGAGGGTACATCTAGCAATCCTACTACTCCAAGGTCACTCATTTCTTCTACAATCTAACCTTGGTGAAGAGACTTAGAGGTTCTCAATTTTGGGAACTTGGAGAACCTATTCTTCCATCCAAATCCATGGATCTAAGAAGCAAGGAATGAAGGCCCTATCTCTTTGGGTGATTAGCCTTTGCTTATGCAAAGAGGAATCTACAAAGGTATTAATTTCAACTCACTTTGTTTTGAGTTGAAATTGGTTCACCAATCTACTAGGCTTTGAATTTCATGGTAATGTTTTGTTTTTTGAGTGCATACAAGCATGATTCCGCCTTTAATTGTTAATTGCATGCTATATGATGTTGCTCAAATGAACATGTTTTCCCAAAAGATTTCCTTCACATATCATGTTCGTCTGTATGTTGTTAGTTCGATTCATGTTCAAACCCGCATATACATATGGTTTTTGTTAACATTTTTCAAAGTTCCATGGACGAAATTAATCATGACATTTAAACAAGAGCAGGGATGAGTTTATACCTTCATAATCGATAGATCAAGACTTTCATGATGTGCCATGCTTTATGTCCAGTGGATTTTCATTTTGAGAGTTCTTTCTCCGGTCTGTCACGGATCTGAGTGTTGTGCACAAATACCACACCATTATAATTACATGCAGAGGTGATGAAGCTATTTTCTTACAACATGGGGTTCATTAACCTACGGAGTACAAGATTTTTACCTTTTGCAGGAACTGGATCTACATTGTAGCTGGTTTTCATTTTTCTTGTCATGGTTAAGCTTCCAGATCGAGGACCTGTGCCCACAAACGAAATAAACATCAGTATACACATGCAGTATGGCGTATCTGAGACATAAAACCCATCATATGGAGCTGCTCGAGTAACATTAAACAGATGCACATATCTTACCTTCACATTTCCATGGCAGAAGTTGAAGGGTTTCGGGTTTCCGCAAAGACAAGGACGTGGTGTAGGTCGGCTCGGATTTGCAACTCTTGGGGGTCCTCACACAGCTGAAACGACATGCATGTGTTAGATCTCACTGCATTTCACTCATACACATAACTCTGAAACTGAACCCAAAAGATTTTTGAGGGATTTACCTTCCTTCATCTCAGCTTTTCCACTCTTGTCACCATGGTTGTGTTCGAGAAACACGGAGGTGTGTAGATAGCTGGGCTGTTGGTTGCAGCACGGAAGCCACGTTTAGCGAGGATGCAGAAGCAGCTGTGGAAAGGAGGGAAAAATGTGGGGGAAAGAGGTATTTTTCGTTTTACAGAGACATGGGATCCGAAAGAAATGAGAAAAACAATAAATGGGAGGAAGAAAGAGTTGCTGTGAAATGGAGAGAGTAAAAGCATTTTCAGACTTTTCTAGAGAGAGCTAGATGGGCATATGGGGTTGATCTTAACCCTTGATTTGGAATCCTATGGCGCTCATCTTTCCGATGCATGACAAGTGGGCGCATCCTCTTCTTTTAGGCTCCCGAAGACACGGTTTGTGGGGAGAGAGCCCTTTGGGCTCTGTGTTTGATGACTGACAGAGACAGAAAAAAAAAAAATCTGCACGCCACTTTCACACGGCATGCTAGTTGCATGCCTTTCAAAAAGGGAATCCAAAGTTTTAAATTGTTGGTGCACGCCTGCTGTGCACATGGATTTGGTCCTATCTTAATCAAGTGGGTGCTGTGGCTGATAAGTTTATTTTAAAAAATCTGCATGCCAGCTGCCAGTCACTTTCAAATAGGGAATCCAATGTTTTCAAGTTTTGGTGCACATGTGCCGTGCAACTTCATTATTCAACCTTTTCATTGGGCCACCTATTTATCCACCAGCAACGTCATTTTCAAAGCCCAGGTAGTCTTTTTCTTTTTCTTTGGTTTTGTTACTCATTTTCCCTTTTATAATTATTATATGTTAGTTTAAGTTTATTTCATTTTTTTTATTTTCCACACCTTGAGGACAAAGTGTGAAATAAGTTTGGGGGTGAGTAAATAACATTTTAGGTCTTTAATTTTTGTGTCGGTTAAAAGTTTTCATTCTTTTTAAGTTAATATCCATAGATTATTTTAAACGTTAGAACAAATGGACATGGTGAAGGTTAATCCCACATTAGAGTCTTTGCTATTTATCGTTGCTTAGACACTAATTCATGAATTATACTTTGAACTTTGCACATCACACCAACATGGTTTGTGGGGAGTGAGATTGAAACACTTGCTTTTAGTATAAGTTTATTTTTAATTTTTGTTTTAAGTAAAGTCAGTTATTATTGTGAAAAAAAGTAATAATTGTCTCACCTGAGGTTTTTCCTAGTAACCGGGCCAGTCCTGCCTAATCAGCAGTGATTCTCGCGTCAAACGGTAGAGTTTTGGCATGGGGCAGGGTGGTTAGTTGGTTTCGTAGCCTTTTCAGCTCGGGTTAATAAGTCCTTAGGGGTGTTCTACACCTAGTGCCCTAAAGCCCTAGTGGTTTGGGAGTCATTGACCTAAAGCTCGCTACATGGGTTGGATCGAAAGCTTAAGTGAACCGACATTGCACGACCACTACTGTTACTGAGAAAAAAAAATTGTTATAAATGAGAAAAAAAAAGAAGAGAAAAAAATTGAAGAGAAAAAGAAAAAGCAAAATAGTTATACTTAAAGTTAGTATGTGTGAAATAAAGAAAGACGAGAGATAAGGGTTTTAGTCGAGTCTCCTTAACTATGTGGTTCACTTTACACCAAAGGAAGTTTGTGAATTCTTTTCTAATTGATTCTAAATGGTTTAGACTCTGTGGTGGGATTAGTTGGAACTTTTGAAAAGATGTTCTAGTTTTTAAAATTTGCTATGGATTGCAACTTGAAGGTGGAAGTTTTGTCTTGGTTGAGTTTTAGCCAGTTGTCTAGTTTGTTAAGTTTTTATTTTTGTTTGAGTCTTGTTTTGCTTGAGGACAAGCAAAAAGCTAAGTTTGGGGGTATTTGATGAGTAGATTTTATATTATATATTTTACCCTAATCTTAGTATATTTTGGCTAATATATTGATAGAATTTTGATACTTTGAATTGTATTTTCAATATAGGACTTCCGAATTCCTCTGGAGCAAAACAGGACCAAATGGACGACTTTTGGAGTAATTCCAGTTGGAGGACGTTCGTGAGTCACTTAGCTTGATCGTGTCAAAAATTGGGATTTTTCCACCAAGCGGTTATTTTCTGACGATGAAATAAAGAAGCAGTGCGCAGTGCTGGAAAATGACGTTTTTGGGCTTAAATTGCGTTTTTGGAGCCCAAGATGACCTCGGATGGGTTTGTGGCCTTCTGGAAAAATGTTCAGAATATTCCAAACATTAAATCCAGCTATATTGGGCCAGTTTTGGAGCAGCTTATGGATCAAAACGTGGCTGTTCAGATTTTAGACGAATTTTATCATTTAATTTAGGCTTATGTTTCCTAGGGTTTGTGTGGAGGCTTGGGAGATATATTGCTTGGCCGTCTACAGTTTTTCTTTACGCTTTCTTTTATGCAATTTTGGGAGACAGAGAGAATTGTTAGGGTTTTGAAGACTTTTTACTTGAAGGTGCTTTCAATCCTTTTCTTGAATATATTTTCTATGATTTCAATTATGAATATGCGGAACTAATTTCTGTTGCTAGGGCGAAGCCTTGAGCCTTAGCATGAATATGTGATTTTTATTTAATTGCTTATGATTGATTGCATGTGTACTTTGAATTGTTAATCACCGGGATAAAAACTATCTAATTGTCGTAATGCCTGATGACCATTAGGATCTTTAGAAAAGTAATTTGATGCAATTTTGGTCGGAAGGTTCCCTGAAATTGACGCTGGCTTCTTGTGATTAATAATTGTAATTTCTCTTAGGATGAATATCACGTCTTAAGGATTGCATGGTTTTTCAAAGGATTTTCATAAAGCATAATGAGTCTTTCATGTTTAGATTTGATCCGAACGTCCGGACGGGTTGCATGTTAGATATATGTTCTATGTTGGAGGTTCCAAGTAGAATAGGAATTAGGAAAATCTAACCTTCGAAGTGGCATGTGTAGATTATAAGTAATTGGTAAAAATTCATAGGATTGCTAGGTGATGGTGGAACCCTAGTGCTTTCTTAATTTTATTCTCCCAAAACAGTTTTCTTTTCTCTCTAGCTCTAATATTGCAGATTGTTTATTTTAATTCATTAATTTGGTTTTTATTTTAATTAGGTTATAAAATCAATCACTTCAATTTCTATTTTACAATAATTAAATGGAATCTGATTAGTTCGAATTTTTTAATAATCCCTGTGTAGACGACCTTGCGAGATCCGTTTGTACTACAATAACCTTGTGATTCTTGCAAGTAAAATAGGAGATTTAAGCCCGTTCACATGAGTAGTAAAAATCCTATCAGGATCCAAACATATTCGTAGTAGTGTGAGTTGCAGCCGTGTCTTCAAGCTCAAGTTCAATTTGTCCCTGTTGTGTTAGCTTTATGATGAGCTCCTTGAGAACAAAATACTTACCAACCAGATGACTCACGATACGATGGTATTTGCAGTACCTAAGATCGTTAACGTGATTCATATCTTTAGGGCACTTGCATTCAGGTAGCTTGATTACTTTCTTTTCTAACAAGTCGTCTAGCATTATGGCCAAGTCAGAGTTCAAAAAAGGGTACGTCTTCTAGTCCAGTTCCCTCAAGGTGTTTTTATACCTATCTTGGGTGCGAGAAGGCTCACCTCTCTTCATCTCCTTTGCTTTGTTCTTGGAGGAGATCTTCACGAGCGCGAATGAGGTCTTGATGGGGGTAACGTTGACAGTAAAAGCTTCCTTGGCGAGCTTCTTCCTAGTCTTATCCACCTTCGGAGCAAACACCTTGTCTTTCTTGAAGTCGTGATTGGCTCTTTTTCCCATGATTGTTGATACTCAACTCCATGTTGTGTCATCGAGTTGCCAACTCCTTAAACATTCTCGATTTTATGCCCTAGAGGATGTAATGTAACCCCCAGTGCATGCCTTGAACACACATCTCAATGGCGGAGGTTTCAGAAAGCTGATCTTTACAATCCAGACTTAATGAACACCATCTGTTGATGAGATAGTCTCCCTCCGTCCTAGTATTGTTGCAGGTTTTGATGAAATGGCCAATATGTTGTTTAGGATTGCCCTTTTCCATTGAATTGCATGAATTTTGGCAGCTAATAACCCATCAGCATCCTCAAGGTGTCAATCCTTTTAGAGTATGGCTTTGAGTATAGCACGGAATCAACGCCTTGATCGTGCTTGTGATCATCTCTTGTAGCTGTTGGATAAAGAGATATCTCATGAGCATCGCAGCTCTATCCACCTCTAGCTTCTCTTCGGCTCTTTCCACCAGAGGCTTTTGTTCTTGTCGATTTTTTTCTTTGGTGGATCAACCTTTAGGTCAGCTTTCTCATTGTGATGCGCGTTTTGACGATTGATGAGTGTAGGGATCTGCAAGCCTTTTTCCTCTACGGTCCTTATCAGCCTTGCGATTACTTTGCTCATTTATGCCAGCTACTCCTTGATGGAAGTTGCACCAATAGTCATGACTTGAATGGCTACAGATACGAACTACTGCTTGATTCAGCATTGAAAGTCAATGACTCAGAGTACATCATCGGGCTTTCTTCCCTTGGTGCCCTTAGTGAGGCCAGGGTGATCATGGGCTCGTGTCTCTGGTGCTTTTGCTTATTCAGCAGAGTTGATGTAGGGGTGGAAGGCATGGCAGAGAGAGCTCTTGCTTTACTTCGGGTTCTGATGCCCAAAATTCCACCACTTGCAGCAAGGATGCTCTTGTTCTTCGTGTTGGTAACAGGAATAGCTTGATCATTTGTTGATGTCATTTGTGCTTTTTTGCTGCTTTAAAGACAGAGATGAGAGGCAGAGAGGTCCCACTGGGCATGCCAAATTTGTAAACATGAAAATTATGTAACGAATGAAACGAGAACACTTGTACAAAGTAGATTTCTATTGATTTGAATTTGTAGGTTACAATCTCTATTTACAATTTTCCTATGATTCAGTCTTCAAATTTCATGTAAATGCGTAGGTTGTTGATCCAAGGGCCGCGATGAATTGATCTCGGACGAATGGTTGAATGATTGCTTTAAATTTTAAGCTTGAAACAATGCATGGATAGCCTTTACCTCAAGGTGCGGCAAAGATGATGTTGATGCGGGATTTCATTGATTCAAGGGTCTTGGCGACTTGATCTTGAAATGAACGTCATTACACGTTTTAAGCTTGTAACAAAGTCTTGAAGCAATTGGCACAGGTGCTTGTTGATTCTTCAAGGGGAGTGCTTCGCTTTTAGTCAAAAGAAAGCTTCGGCTT